CCGTTGATGTTGAATATGACCATCAGCAGTCTAGTGATGGATATCACAGCCAGTGTCTGCCTGTTAAAGGTGATGGTGACAACCAGCCCATGAGGCTCCGCGTAACCGGGCTGAATGTGAACCCGAGAGATGGCATCCCGGACTGACAGCAGTACTTGGTTGTTAGTAGTTAGTGTAATTTCATCAACAGGAAAATATGAAAGGTCTGCCTTTAACAAGTGAAAAGGAATCAACCAGTGTTCCTGGCTAATATATGATGAACACTAAGTCATACAAATAAGATGGTGGATTTAATCGTACCTATGTTTGGGTGGACATAAAAAGCTGCTGCTCATTTGGCTACTCGCTACTAACAAGGGTGGAATCAATTCCGCTCATGAAGCTGGGCAAGGGAAGCGGGAGGGGTACGTTGTTGCAGCAGTAACAGGTTCGGGAGTCGTACGACCCGTGCGGTGGATTCAGTGGACATCAAGCTGCTGCTCACTCACAGTGTATCCGCTGCTGTCGATGTTTGACGGGGCACAGAAGTGCGTTCAATCCCTCCGTGTCTGGTGTTGATCCGAGTGAAAGAATTCATGTGCGACTATATCTCTCTGTGCGTTTTCACGTACGGCTCCTTGGAAATCATAATTCAATCACAGGAATAAGGTTTTTTATCGTGACGATTTCTGTGTAACTGGAATTTGATTGAAATACGAATAAAGTGTTTTCATTTTAAGGACAGTTTTGGTCATTTTTAAATTCAGCAACAAGTGTGATTTCAGATAAATGACAAGTTATTTCACAGAGATTTTAGGAAAACCTGTTTTGATTTCCTGCATGTAGAAGGGTTGAAAACCTGGTCCATGTAACATCTATCAATATGAAAATGTAAAATAGATTTGCTAGTAATCCTGTAGTAAATCATCGTAAGCAACACAACACATTTCTGTTTCACAGTCAAACTTTATTATGATATTGACAGAAATGATATAATATAGAATATAAACGATACAAACGGATTTGGTCTGCTTTTAAAGTGAAGGATCAACAGTTTCCTGGCTTTTTATACAGTGTATCTGTACTGTCCTGGGTGGAGTACGGCTCCTTGAAAATCATAATTCAATCACAGGAATAAGGTTTAAATAAGAATATTGTTTTGTTTGGGGTAGGATTGGCAGTGTTTTATTGTGAAGTGCTGTTTGGTACGAATTTGCAGTGTTAATTGAGAAGTGCTCCCAGTCCCAGAGGTCATTTTAATAAAGCCTATTTTTTACACAACCTATTTCCATATCCTTGTTCCAACATGTAAATTGACAACACGTGGTGTCCATGCACCTGAGTATTGGACAGAGATAACATCCAGGGCTTTGATTGGCAAAGAGGGAACCACAATCACTTGCTGAAACCTTTTCGTGTGTATTGAGGTAGTAAGATTCAACGGTCCTCTATCTTCTGCGCTTTTCATGTTGACTTTTGCATCCAGACAGTATAGTATTTTATGTCTGTTTATCCTCGTGTATTCACACTGGCTGTCTCACTCGTGTTGGAAGAATTGTTATTCATGGTGCCATGAGCTAAACGCATTACAACAGAACTTTAACTGTACGTACGCCTGCTACTCTTCCCATAACTTGAGAGGACGCTGAAGAAGGAGCCACACGTCTGCCTGCTTCATTTCTTTTCCCTGTTTTCTCAAGCACACACCTGTTTGCATGCTTTATCAAACTCAGGCCTGTAACAGATCCTTCAGTGAGAAGACGCAGCCAGGTATTGTGCTTGCAACTGCCACCTACTGTCCAAAGTTAAACACATCCCAGGAACAGTTCCATGTATCAATATTCTACTTGTTTTACAGTTTTAAATAAGACAGTACATTTTAAAGTTCAAAAATGAATAATCAATTACACAAAAAAATGTCACATGTGTATTAAAGTAACAAGATTTGACTTTCCTGTTCTGATCTAAAATCTTATGTTTAAATTCTGTTGAAGCAACAGTAACATGTAACCACCATCAACAAAGTTTCAATTTACTGATGAAACCTTTCAATCCGCTGCAGGATTCAACACTCCTCTGTCTTCTGTGCGCTTCTACACTTTGCAATATCAAGTAAAAATAGAAACACTTTATTTGTCCCACAACTTGTAGAACACAGATATAATGATTTAATTGTTGCAAACCCTGTGGGAAAAATGTAGGAGCAATCTGGTAAAGAGATCTGAATTCAAACACAGAAGAGGATATCAGAAAGAACACAGTGGCTGATGCCTGATGCTCAGTTATAGATGCTTATACACAGGTGTTAACATACACCAGTTAAACTTCAAGAAATGGCCCTCATGGATGATAATACAGTTATAAGTGTAACATTTAAGCAGGTACTTTTCTTCATTGAAGGTAAACACTTCTTTTGTTTGTTGGTTTCATGAAATCAAAAAAATAAAATAAAATTGTCTCTCCTACTAAATCAAAACAAGAGCTTGGTCTTGAACCGGCAGGCTTTGTTGGCACATAACAGATTGTTCTCCATCTTTGGAAGAGATGCATAAAGCTGGATTTTGCTGTATAGTTGAAATTAATGACTAAAATTGCCTTTTTTAATCTCTAATTGCAATAATTATCATTATACATTTACATAAGGAAAGAAACATAACAGAAAGTAATATGTATTACTACTAAACAGTTATTGAAACGGGCTCACCCATAAACAGATATAACAGATAAGATACTTGGATTAGGTTTTAGGTCACTCACTGACTGCATTTTTTTACCAGAAAATTACTTATTGTATGGGATTATATTTTACCCTCCTAACCCAACACTGCCATTAGCCCACTCACACACAAACTCTCCCACACACAGTCAATTAGAGACCATTCAACTATCTCTGGATTGGAAGCAGAGCCTGACATCTTATGGACAGAAACTGTAATTACAATCTGCACAGTCAAGTGGCAATATAATAACAACATATTTCTGAATCTCAAAGGGGGGGGGTTACTCTTTAATTAAATAATCCCCTGTTGATGCTCACCCAACAGATTACATAGGGGTGTTCAACAACGTCAGTATGTGCTGCATCATACCACTCTATCATGGCCAAACCCTGATTGTATCCATAGCTACAACTCTAAACCTAATCCTAAATTTAAATTTATGAACAGTTCTGATTCAATTTACAGTATAAATAAGAACATATAAAAGTATTATCAGCAAAGTGAATTTAACTATAAAAAGTATAAATCCTAAAAAAAATGTCCCTTGTGACTGATCTATCTAATGTAAGCAGGATGTTGCTGTTATAGGAGCACAATGTGGAGCTAGTTGTAACTACTTTATATATAGTAAGTAGTTTATTTAGTCCAGTGGTTCCCAGCCTGGGGGTCCATTAGTCACACAATGAATCTGAGGGGTCTTAAGATGATTAATGGGAGAGAATAAAAGAACAAAGTAGGTCCTGATACAGGAATCTATCTTTGTATTTTGGACTTTTTTTCCCCACATATTTGCTTTTATTTGTAAATTATTGGAAAATGTTGCCTCTTTTGACCTCAAACAAAGGGGGAGGGGAAATGACTCCCATATACATCTGAAAGTTAACAAAGGACCCCAACTACACACTGCTTTCTTTGTAAAGGCTAAAAAGGTCGGAGACAACGATTTACTGAGTACGTTTAGGTGGCATAGCAGTGAACAAACTGAACTCCGCTCACGTCTGTATCTGACGACCTCGGAATAAGAACTGGCTGTGGAGTTTGAAGGAGAAACTTGGGGGGCTGTGTAGCAAGAGAAAAACACAAAAAGCCCTATCTGGAGCCAGTGTTTGAGGAAGTAGGTTTAAATTCCCCACGTCATTGAAATTCTAGTTATTAAAGATATGACACTTCACTTAATTTATTCATATTTTGTATTTATTTAGTTTATGTTTTCTTTAAAGCATCAAATACATTAAGAAGGTTGACACTTAAAATAATGTTTTTTTCAAATGTCTGCAATAGAAACTAGTCTTCTTACTTTATCTCCTGTTAATAAAACACAAGTAATTTAATCAGAATACTCAGATTATCAGATTAATCGCATAAGTATTTCTCAATTGCTAATTGAACTTTTCTGTGGACAAAAATTTAAAGCAAAGTATTCGGTAAATGTTGGGGTATGCAGGTAGGCAAACAGGTAGGTTGGCTGAAGGGAATGACTGGGCTAAATACA